CAGGGCGCTCCACGCGCTGCGGGTGCCGGCGGCTCGTCTCTTGCCGCTTGCCGGTGCCTACGGGATGGGGGCGGTTTGAAAACGGAGCGCCATCCAGGTTTTTGCACCCCCCTTGCCACTGTCTTGCATCTCGCTCCCGCCACTGAAAGGAGTTGTTTTGTTTGCTTGTTTCCCTTATCTGCCTGTTTGTCAGTCTGCCTGTCGGTGTTTCTCTCGCTCTCTCTCTCTCTCTCTCTCTCGCTCTCTCTCCTCCCGGTGGCCTGTCCGGGCCACTTCTCCCCCTCTCGAAGTCCCTCTCGCATCGGCCCCCCTGCCCCTTCCTCGTTTTCTGGGTTCTCTATCTCCCTCTCTCTCTCTCTCTCTCTCTCTCTCTATACCAGCTGCCTGCGGCAAGTCCCGCCACCGCGCCTGGGTAGTGAGCTATAAACCTAGTGGATGTTCGTTGGAGTCTCGTGGGAGGCCTTTCGGGTGCATTTTGGAGGCAGTTGGGGGGCCGATTTGGAGCCTCATCCTGGGGGCCCCTTGGGGCAGAAGGCTCGGATTTTTGGTTCGTGTTCCATTTCTGGGGTTTCTTTTGGGGCCGTCTTGGGGCCCTCCTAGGCCGTTTTGGGCGCCTCTCGGGCTGTTTTGGAGCAGCGTTCTTATGCCGTCTTGGGGCCCTCTTGAAGGCCTCTTGGACCGTTTTGGGGGGGCCTCTTGAGCCGTTCTTGCAGCGTCGGAAACCAAAAAGGCGAGAACGCCAAAATCCGTCAAAAATGTTAGGAAAAACAAGGATTGTTGCCTTTGGGGGCCCTCTTGCCAGACCTCCTGGAGGCCTCTTGGGGTTCCTTGGAAGCCCCTTGCACCGTCTTGAGGCCATCTTGGGCGTCTTCGAGCGATCTCGTTCGGCGACTCGGGGCCCTCCTGGACCGTCCATGGAAGCCCTGGAGAGCCCCCGGGAGGCGCTTTGGCACCCCCAGGGACACCTTGGGAGCATGGCCAGTGCGCGCAGCGAGGTGCGGCCCAGAGGCCGGGGGGTCCCTTAGACGGTTCCGCAAACCTTACCAGACGTCACTTGGCACTCTGGTACACGTTGTTCAGTTCTAATTATTCGAGAGTTTTTTGATTTTTTGCGGGGGGGCCAAGATCCTTTCATTTCTAGTTGTTCTATCCTGGGCCTCTTCCTGGCCACTACAGGGCCAGGAACAATTAGAAACGAGCACAGTTAGAAATGAGCACGATCAGAAATGAACGACGTGTGCCAAACATCACTTGGCATTCTGGCACGCTTCAAAGTGCCAGGGGGCACGGTGGCGGATCCTGGAGCGCAGCAGCAGCAGCAGCAGCGCCTCAGGCAGGTGCAGCTCGCGACCGCCACACGAGTCCTTCTGATCTTCGCGATGGATCTGGCAGGGCTTCGGCTTGCGCACAGACGGCCCCCCCGGGTAGTCCCGCTTGGCCCCAGCAGGCCCCCCGAGCAGTCCGGGGCGGTCCCGACGCCCTCGGGCGGCGCCCCCCGGGGCGCGGACGTGTGGAGACCGCCCCAAAAACTAACTTCGTGGGGCCTGCACAGACCGGCCGGTGCTGCCTTGGGAGGGCCAGAAGCCTCACCGGATTGATGCGGGACCTCTTTCCCAGACATTTTTTGATCTGCGGGGCGAGAGCGAGCCTCTTCCGCTAAAAGCTAGGCGCCGACCTCTTTCCCAGACATGCGATGCTTGTGTTGTTGTTCCATGCGCGGAGGTCCCGACCCTTTCCCCAGGCCAGCTCTTCATCCCAGGTCGTTTTTGACGATCCCGAGGCCCGGCAAGGGCACCCCCCCCCCTGGAGGCCGGAAACGGCCAAAAGCCTTCCGTTGTTATTTGTTTCACGACGCGAGCATGTCTGGGTTTTTCCCCAAGTCTATTTTAGTGCAAGGGGCTCTTGCCTGGCCATAAGAATTCAGGATCCGAGACCTTTGCCGGCTTTGCTGGTGCGGTTGCTGCTCGCTACTACTTTACCGATGAGGTTGCCGTTGATGTGGCTGTTGCGACTAAAGTCGGCAGTGCTGCTCATGATGCGGCTGCTGTTCATGTCGTCGTTGCTGTTCATGTGGTTATTATGTTGCCATTGTTGCTGATGTTATTACTGTTATTGCTGGTGGTGGTGATGGTGTTGATGGTGATGGTGTTGTTGTTGGTGGTGGTGGTGTTGCTGTTGTTGATGTTGTTGTTGTTGTGAATATTGTTGCCAATGCGTTGTGAGTAATATAACCAGTATGATAGCCGTTGAATAATTATTACTGCTCTCTGGGCCAGCTGTGGGCCAGGCTCAAGTGCCGACCCTCACAGGGATCGCGCCTCTCCTGGTGGGCCCGAGGCCTCTGCTGGCTCTGTGGGCCTGCTCTGGCTTTCACAAATCTGGGCGACCCTCACGAGGATGGCGCCGCTCCTGGCGGGCCGGAGGCCCATGCCGGCTCTGTGGGCCCGTTGTGGGCCAGGCGCGCCTTGGCTTGCGAAAAAGGGCGACCTCGCGAGGATGGCGCCGTTCCCGGTGGGCCGGAGGCCTCTGCCGGCCCTGCGGGCCAGTTGCGGGGGCGGGCGCTCTGGATTTCGAAGAGGGGCGACCCTCACGAGGGCCAGCATGTTGGCCAGGCGCCCTGGCTTTTGAGCAAGAGGCGTGTTGCTGAGGCCTTACGGCCAGTGCCGCCGACCCTGGACGACGAAACCCCTACGATGGAAGAGGCATTCGGGAAGGTCGGGATCAGACGCCCCCGAAACTGCCCAAGAGGCTACACGAGGCCCCTAAGAGGTGCTCAACAGCCCCTTCGTAGTTTCGGGGAGCTCTCCTTAGGGGCCTCTTGGGCCCTGGGACCACCCGGGGGATTAGGAAAATGTTCGAGGCAGCGGAAAGACCTCTCCGACTCCCCAGAGCTGTGGGGTCGGGAAATCGGGGGGACAGGGAATCGGGGCGTCGGCCAGTCGGGGAGCCAGGCCCGTCGGGGAGTCGGCCAGTCGGCAGGTCGGCCAGTCGGGGAGTCGGCCAGTCGTGAAGTCGGGAAGTCGGTCGGGGAGTAGGGGAGTCGGGGAGCAGGGGAGCAGGGGAGTCGGCCAGTCGGGGAGTCGGCCAGTCGGGGAGTCGGCAGTCGGGGAGTCGGGAAGTCGGGGGGTCGGGGAGTCGGGGAGTCGGCCAATCGGGGAGTCGGCCAGTCGGAAAGTCGGAGAGCAGGGCGGTCCGGGAATCGGGGGGTCGGGGAGTCGGCCAGCCGGAGAGTCGGCCAGTCGGGGAGTCGGCCAGCCAGGGAGTTGGCCAGTGGGGGAGTCGGGGAGTCAGCCAGTCGGGGTGTTGGGAAGCAGGGGCGTCGGCTGGTCGGGGGGTCGGAGAGGCGGTCAGCCCGGGAGTCGGGGAGTCGGGCCCGTCGGGGAGTCGGCCAGACTCGGCCAGTCAGCCAGTCGGGAGGTCGTGGAGTCGGCCAGTCGGGGAGTCGGCCAGCCGGGGAGTCGGGAAGTCGGGGAGTCGCGAAGTCGGCCACTCGGGGAGTCGGGAAGCAGGGGATTCAGAGAGTCGGGGAGTCGGCCAGTCGGGGACTCGGAGAGCAGGGGAGTCGGGGAGTTGGCCAGTCGGGAATTCGGGGGGTGGGCAGTCGGGGGGTCCAGGAGCAAGGAGGTCGGCCAGTCTGTGAGTCGGAGAGTCGGCTAGTCGGGGAGTCGGGGAATCGGCCAGCCGGGGAGTCGACCAGCAGAGGATTCGGCCAGTCGGGGAGTCGGGGAGTCGGTCAGTCAGGAATTCAGGGAGTCACCCAGTCGGGGAGTCGGCCAGTCGGGGATTCGGCCAGTCGGAGAGTCGACCAGTCGGAGAGTCGGCCAGTCTGGGAGTTGGGGAGTCGGCCAATCAGGGAGTCATCAGTCGGGGAGTCGGCCTGTCGGGGAGCCGGGGAGTCTGGGAGTCGGCCGGTCAGTCGGGGAATTGGCCACTCGGGGATTCGGCCAGTTGGGGAGTCGGTGAGTCGGGAATTTTGGGAGTCATCCAGTCGGGGAATCGTCCAGCCAGGGAGTCGGCGAGTGGGGGAGTCGGCCAGTCGGCCAGTCGGAGTCGGCCATTCGGGGAGTCGGGGAGTCGAGAATTCGTGGGGACAGGGAGTCGGGGAGTCGGGATATCATGGAGTCGGCCAGCCGGAGAGTCGGCCAATCGGGGAGTCGGGGAATCGGAATTTCGGCCGGGGAAAAGAGGGAGCGGCGACGGCGACGACAACGGCGACGGCGACGACGAATGAATCGAAGCATCGTCTCGCGCACGCCGACGGTGACGGCGGATTTGGCGACGACGTTGGGGTTACGGATTGCCTGGAGTTCCCCGCGGGGCTCCGTTGTGTTCTTCCCCTAAAGGGAAACGTTTGGGGGGGCTGGGTCTGGGGTGAAAACATTGAGCTTGAACCGGCAGCACATCGCCGATAGATCGGCGATAGGCCTCCGATAACGAAACCGCGCGTTGCTGGGCGGGGTGTGCTGTCAGGCCCCCATCGGTCGGCGATGCATCACCGATTCCAGATCTGTGTTCCCCCCTCTGAGCCTACCCCCCCTTGTGGTTTTCGGGTCATAACTCGGCTCCCCAGCGGCCGTTCGGGACGTTTCGGGCAACCTGGAACGCTTTCGACGAGGCGCTGTTGCTGCAAGGCATCCCAAGGCTGGAAGACCGCCGAGATCCCCTGAAAACGTCCGAAAACTTCGAATGTCGTACAGTCGAGGCGTTGAAACAACGGCCACTCTGGGCTCGGGAGGGGCTCTGATGTCTGGGCCGTTCCTTAGACTGGAGTCGGGGAACCTATGCGTGACCGGGGCTCGCCGTGGACGTAAAAGCCTCCACGTTCCTTACCTGGCGTTCCTCGTGGCAGCGCGTCGGCGACATTCCATCGAGCCAGACAGCAAGCTGCCTCTGCGGCGCGTGCGCGTCGCTGGCGTCCAGTGTGCAGGCGACGCGCGCGCGCGGCGGGTGCCTCCCTCCTCACGCCGCCCCTCACCGCGGTGCTCCTCCCTGGGCCCGCGAGGCGGCGCGGCAGACGAGGCGCTGGCGGACCTGGACGACATGTTCGCGGACTCTGGGCCGCCGCCGCCGTCGGCCGAGGCCGCCCAGAGTTTTCACCGCACCATTGACGGAGGCATGGCCGACTGCCGACTGCTCGAAGGAGGTCGGGGCCCATGCGTTCCGGAGAGGATCGAGGAAGTGGGTCGAGGATCAGAGAAGGAGATCGGTGGCGGAGTCTTTCGGAGGCTTTCGGGGGCCCGAGATGGTTCCCATCAGCTGCGCCCTGTCACAGACGTTCTGGGGATGCCAGAAGCGTCCCGAGCGGCCGCTCGAGTCTCGAGCCACTGCCCGAGAGCCGTCCGATCGAGAGCCAGGCGGAGCAACCGCGGCCCTCCGCAGCGTGTCTCTCGTCTCTTTCGGGGGGTCTCCCGGAGGCCTCTCGTCGGGCAGAGTGTGCCCCGGGAGTCTCCCGGGGATTGATCTTGTGCGGTTGGGCCAGCCAGGAGAGCCGCCGTTGTCGCAACTGGCCTCCCCTTTCTTGAGTGGGGCGGGCACGCGTCAGCGATGCTCCAAGAACGCCGCGGCCCCTCCAGCCCTGGGCATCCCTCCAGGGCCCGCTTCGATCCGGGATCGGTCTGGTTAGACTTCGGCTTCGATCAGCTCGATCCGATGGGCTCGTCGCGTCCTGCTGGGCGCCCCATCATGCGGAGGAAGAGGAGGAGGAGGAGGAGGAGGAGGAGGAGGAGGAGGAGGCTATGATGCACCTAATCGTCCTCCCCCGTTCTCCGCTCAGGTCGGACGAGAGGGGGGGATCGGGAAAGAGGGGGGGGAAGAGAATTTCGGCATGCAGCTGGTCTCTGCCCCACAGCTGGGCGCCTTCCTCGACACTGACGCCTCCGGCGCCAGAAGGCGCAAAGAAAACCGGCTTCGTGAGCTGATCTGCTACCACCCCAAAAAAACTGCGTGCCCCCCTTCCCCTTGTTTCGTCCGATCCAGTCCTCCCCGTTGCTCTTTCCTCCTCCTCCCCCGCCTCTATCATCATCTTCCATGGCGATGGTGGCCCCAGCCGCGCATCGGGGGTTCGACCCCGCGTCGTGCGAGGCCGCGTGGCGGGGGGAGCCTGGTTGCGGGGCGTCCATCGCCAAGGCTGGGCGGGGGCCTTCCATCATGCGCCCAGTGCAGACGCCCTGGCTATTGAGTTCGTCGGCTTACCGTCATTCGGGTTGAAAGTCGACAGGGAGAAAATTGCGTGGACCCCAAGCAGGAAATTATCGCACCGTGGGTATGCAAGCTGCGTAACGCAATCTGCGTGATGCGAGCAATGTGGTGTAGGCTATGCGATGCAAGGTGTGTGGTGCAAGCTATGTGGCGAAACCTCGACGGACACCCCAAGTGGGCGGCAACGAGGCGGCAACGGGCGGCGACGCGGCGGAACCTCGACAGACGCCCCAAGTGGGCGGCAACGAGGCGGCAAAGAGGCGGCAACGTTCGGCGACGCGCCGAAACTGCGACGGACGCCCCCAAAGTGGGCGGCAACGAGGCGGAAACGGGCGGCGATGCGGCAGAACCTCGACGGACGTCCCCAAAGTGGGCGGCAACGAGGCGGCAACGAGGCGGCGATGCGGCGGAGCGGCGCAACCTCGACGGACCCCCCAAGTGGGTGGCAACGGGCGGCGACGCGGCGGAACCTCGACGGACCGAGCCAAGTGGTTTGCAACGAGGCGGCAACGGGCGGCGACGCGGCGACAGCTCGACGGACCATCCCAATTACATGGTAAGACAAGCAAGAGCCCCTGAGTGCAAGCGTCGTTGTGGGGAACAATTACTTTCCCAGGTCCGAGCGGAGTTCTTAGATCGGCGCTGGGACTCCCTCGTGGCGACTCCTCTCCGGCACCGCCCCTGGCGCGCTCGGCGCGATGGGGAGAGGGGTCCAGCGCCGATCCAGGGCATCCCCATGGAGCTCCGAGAGCGTCTGCTTCTGCAGCTGTTCCTGCGCCTGGCTCCCTGGGCCCAGAGGCAGGAGGCCCCCCGCCGGCCGCGATGACCCGTGCCCGCAGACCCACTCTGGCGTAGATCCGAAGGATCCGCTCTGGCCCGAAGATCCACTCAAAAAAACTGTTGGCCCCCCAACAAAAAAATCTCTGGTCCAAAAAAAGATGTCTTGGGCCCGCGCTCCCACTGGTGCTCTCACTCCGCGCTCTCCCGCCGCGCCCTCCCGGGGAGAAGAGGGCGCCGACGCGCGGGCAGGCGCGCGGAGGCCGCGCAGCGCAGGGGCCTGCGCGCCTCGCGCGCCGCGCGGGACTGCGGCGCCTGCGGGCTGCGGCGAGGCCCGCGACGGGGACGCGAGCGCTGCAGCCGACCGCGGCAGCCACCGCCAGTCCTGGAGCAGCACAGCCGCTGCAGCCAGAGACACGACGGCGACGGCCACGAGGGCGGACCCTGAGATCCGACGCCGCGACGAGGTCGAGACGCCGTGGAGAGGACCACGACCGGGGATGCGACGCCGCGGAAGGGCCGAGCCGAGACACCGCGGAGGATCGCGACCGGAGCCCCGGACCTCCCCGGACTGCGCCGCGGTTGCTCGAGCCGCGTCGATCGGTGCGGGCCCCGGGGCCCGCAGCCTGGCGCCCACGCCCCGGGCGTGCGCCAACTCTGCCGCGCCCGGCTCGCAGGCAGCGGCGCGAGAGCGGCCGGCGCGGGGCGGCGGCGGGTGGCCGCGGGGGGGCGACGGCGCGAGCGCCGCCCGCGCACGCCGGGCGCGCCCCGGCCGCACCCGCGGCGCGCGCGGGCGGGCGAGCCGCCCCGCGCGCGCGGGCGCGAGCCGCCGCGCGCCGCCCCGCTGCGGATCGCCAGCGGGATCGGCGAGCGCGGCGGATGCTCGCGGCTGGCCAGGGCCTGCACGTGGGCTCCAGTGGGTGCTTGTCTGCGGCGAGCGGGGGGGGGGAGCGAGAGGGAGAGCGCCTTCGCAGAAGGCGGCGGGGCTTCTCGGATGCCCTTCGGCCTTCTGGGAAGATTTCTGCGTCTGCGGGGAAGGCTCAGAAAGCTTCTCAGAAGGCCGGGGGACTTCCGAGCCTTCTGAGAAGGCCCGCCCCTTCTCACTTCCCCCCTCCCCCAGCGCCGCCTATCCTGGAGAGACACCATTACTCTAAGCTCGCTCAGGCATGCCCGAAGCGGCCATGCCCCAAACTTGAACGACCACTCTGAATTCGTTTGGGCATGCTCAGGAAGCACAACTATACTGGATGCCAGCGTGCACTTCTTGCGCACGCCCAGCGCCTCTCACGCGCTCGTCTTACCCACGTCGGCGCCTGATTTGGCTCCCCGAGTCCTGAAGACTCAAGAGAGAGCCCAAGCCCTGGACCTCGACGGCGCACGCGCGCCCCCGCCGCGGAGGCCCTCGAGGGGGGGGGGCCCCCGCCTGCGCACGCGGCGGAGGTGCAGCGGCTGCAGCTGGCCCACGAGGACCAGCGGCAGGCGTGGCGCCTCCGTGGGTCGACAGCGCACCCGCCGCCTCCCAGGGCCGCGCGGCGACCGCTGACGCGCGGCCTCCCCGTCGGCGGCGGTGTCGGCACTCGTGGGCGCTCCATGCGCCGGGTGGGTCCGCCGAGCTTGCGCCACGTTGCCGCCCGTTGCCGCCTCGTGGGCGCTCGTGGGCACCCCGACCGCTGGGTGGCTCCGCCGGGGTTGCCCCACGTTGCCGCCTCGTGGGCGCTCGTGGGCACCCCGTGGCAGCGCCAAGAGCAGACACGCTCAGGGGCAACGACGTGGGGGGACTCGCCCAGGAAGGAAGCATCGACACCCCTGTGCTAGAGGGGGCGGAGCTGGGTCGGATTCGCGCTGCTTTCGGAGGAGGCGCTGGCATCTATCCCTGGCCGCGCGGCGGCGTCTCGCAGTTCAACTTGGGGAGCAGGCGGCCGCCACAGGCGAAGACACCTTCTGATCGGCGGGCGCGGACAGACGGGCAGAATTGACGTTCGATGTTCGTTCAAGGTTTTCTGACGTTTTCGTCGGTTCTCAGCGGCTGTCCAGCCTCGGGGTGCTCTCCAACAGCTGCGCCTCGCCGAGGGGCATCTTGGGGGGCCCAGATCAGCCCGAACGGCCGCCAGAGGCCCGAGGTATAACCCAAGAACTAGACGACGAAGATCCCTGGGGCGGACTGGCTCGGGGGGTGGGAGGGGAGAGCATCGACCCCCAGTCTCCCACTCCTTGCCGAGCAGAACCCGGGCCCCCAACCCCGCCCAGGGGCGCGCGCTTTCGCCATCGGGGGCGTCTAGCCGATCCATCGGCGATGCACCGCCAGTTCCAGTTCACGGTGCTTTCCCACCGCCCTTTCGACCCCCCTCACACGCGGCACCCGGAGGCCAGCGGCCGACCGAGCTCCCAGGGGCGGGCGGGCAGCGCACCGCCGACCCGCAGCAGACCCGACGTCGCAAGAAGTTGCAGCATCGCTGGAGGAGGAGGAGGAGGAGGAGGAGGAGGAGGAGGAGGAGGAGGAGGAGGAGAGCACGACCAGAGCCCTGGGCCCCATCTCGTCGCCGCACTTCCTCGGGCCAGCTCGAGCCGCGAGGGCCCCCGGGCCCGAGCCAGCACGAGCATTGCCCAGTGTGAAGATACAGAGTGAAGGAAGTTCGGCACACATACACAGTCGTCGGACTTCGGTCGGCACATAATACGTTCGGACTCGTTACTTCAGTGATAGATACGTTCGGCAAATATACGAGTGATGGGTACGTTCGGAACCGAGATGCATACAGTGCACATAAACACACCGTCTATTCAGACATGCATGCATGCATACATGCACGCATACATGACATATACATACATGCTTATCTGCATACATACATACATGGATGCATACATGGAAACGTGCGCTCGTACGTACGTACACATATACGTACATGCATACATACAAACCAGCATGCATGCATACATGCACGCATCATACGCATGTGCATATCCATATATACATTTACAGATGCACGCAAACATGCATGTATGCATACATGCATGCATGCATTCAGACAGACATACAGGCAGGCATGCAGACATACATAAATATGCATGTAAACAGCATAGATGCAGACATACGCATACAGACATACATTCACATACATACATGCATACATGAACGCATACATACAGATGCATGCATACATACGTACATGCATGCACACACGTATATGTGCATGCGTACATATACACACATGTATTACGATTCAGTACACGCAGTACGTACATTAGATACTGTACATACATACATACATGCATGCATGCATGCATGCATGTGTGCTTGCATGCATACATGCATGCACACACATACATACATATATGCATACATACAGACAGACAGACAGACAGACAGACAGACAGGCAAGCAGGAAGACAGACAGACCGACAGACAGACAGGCAGACATGCATGCGTGCATGCATGCATACATACATGAACACACATACATACATGTGCACGCATACATTCATCCATTCACACATACACTCACATACGTATATACTTACATACACAAATACAGTCACATACACATGCACATAGATACATGCATGTATACATACATGCACATAGATGTAAACATACATACATAAACACCTGCATGCATGCATGAATGCATGCATGCGTGCAAACATTGATACACTTCCAGGCATGCATGCGTATGCACATACGTACGAGCATACCTGCATGCATGCATGAATGCATACATCCTTACATGCAAACAGACATACAAACATAAGGGAAGATGATAAGTACATGCATAACAGCTATTGAAAACACAACCACCACAACAACCACAACAACAACAAAACAACAGCAACAATAGCAACAACAACACATACGCGGATCCAGAGTCTCGGGGCGCGCCATGGGCG